AATAACGAAGAGGTTCGCAATGCCAAAAACCGGCACGATATGAAAGTTGGCACAGGGTAATGTCGCAGCGCAATGGCAGTCGGTCTTTCTGGACGCTGGCCAAGCAGATTGAAAAGAACTTCTCGCACAGTAGCCTTCCACCGCTTACATGTCAGGATGGAACTATTGTATTCGACTCAAAGCCCAAGGCGGAAGTGCTAGCCAAGATCCTTGTTGCCAACGACAGGCAGTATGGTTTCCGGCACCAACGATCCACAGGGGACCTACTAGCCTACAGCAATTGTGGAGTAAACTCGTCCAGTCTTATGGTGAGGCTCATGTCGTTGCTCTTGACATCACGAGAGCGTTGGATCAGCTGTGGCACGGTGCCCTCTTCCATCCTATGGCCATCCAGACAAGCTTTGCAGATGGGTGTCTGACTTTATCTCTGGCCGCAAGATACCCGTCATAATTGACGGGTTCTCCTCTTCATCCCTCAACGTCAACGCCGGTGTTCCCCAGGGATGGGTCTTACATATCAACGACCTCCTTTCCTGCACGATCAACCCAATCGCACCCTACATGCAGGAATTCAGATTGACAAGCCGATCTCTGCCGCTGAGCTGGAAAGAAGAAGACTAGCGACTACTTCCTCTCTGACAAGAGACCTATCTATCACTGCTTGGGGACGCAACAATCTTGTACAGTTCAATGCTTCCAAAACACAATACTGTGCTTTGACGAACAAAACGCGTCCTAGCGCTCATCCGGTTTCGATGGATGGCCGAGTTATTTATTTATTTATATGCTTAAAGTCTCACAAAACACCCTAGAGCAATTAGAATGCAAGACAACCTAAAACTAGAGTAAAACCACGCGAGGCAACAATGAAATATTCCTTTTAAATGAGCCAAGACTAGAACTGAAAAACTAAAATTAAAAAAAAAGTTATCACATTTATAATACTAAGATACAAATCCGTTTCAATAAAATTCATCACAGGTAAAACAATATAAAATAATAAAACAATAAAACAACCACCGATAGCTGCTTAGACTAAGACCTAGTGAGATCTGTTAATGACAATAAGTTTTGCTATAGAGCCATACCTGTTCATGCCAGATCATCGAGGACCTGATCTGGCACGAACACATCTCGTCATTAGCAGCAGCTGCTAGGAAAAAGCTATTCTATTTGTTTAGGGCTAAGAAGTACTTTTCCCCGCATGACCTTCTCACTCTATACAAGGCCCAGATAAGGCCTAGCCTCGAGTATTGCTGCCGCCCCGACTACATTGTCCATGCTCGATGCTGTCCAGAGGAGGACGGTCCGACTGATCGATGACTCTTCTCTAACAGACAGTCTCGGGACCCTTTCGCACCGGCGGGCCGTCGGCGATCTAGCTTTTTTCTACCGCTACACCAACGGGCTTTGCTCCTCAGAGCTCTCTTCCATGATGCCGTCGCGCGATGTGCCTGCCAGGCAAACCCGCCTGACTTTGGCGTCCCATCCTAACCGTGTCGAACCGCTCCTTGGTCCCGAGGGTGTCGAGATTGTGGAACAATCTACAAGAGGAAGATTTTCCCAGTTCTACTAACCTTAGGTATTTCAAAAATCGTATTAACAAAATTCCTTTGGGATCATTATAGCAGCCGCGGTGTTCCGGCATTTAGGCTTCTGCCTGCGCGGCTGCTTCTATATATATAAAAAAAACCCAAAAAAAAACTAAAAACAGGTAAGGTAATTATCTTATTTAAAAAAGGCGAATGTGAAAATCCCTGAAGCCTTGTCAAAATTAATCGAATACGAATTTCTGGACAGATTTAACAATTTTATTAACACATGTAAAATAATCAGCACACACCAGCATGGTTTTAGGTCAGGTAAATCTACCATCACAGCGACAAATGAATATTTCATTAACATCCTGGAAAGCATTGAGATGGGCGAATGCCCTGTGACTGTATTTATTGACCTGAGCAGGCTATTTGACTGTGTCAATTATTCAATATTATTATCTACATTAGAAGAATACGGTATGAGAGGTAAACCGCTGGAATGGATTGAAGCTTTTCTTTCTGAATGACGGCAATATGTCGGAACAAAGTCGGCTGATGAAGTAACATCAAAAAAAGAAACCTCATTTATGGGAGTTCCTCAGGGGTCAATTTTAGTTGTTGTTTTTATTGTACACAAATAAACTAAGTGACTTAGGACAAAACCACGTTATGTATGTTGATGAGATCTCATTAACTATAAGCGATTTTGATAATAACAGTTTGTCTCATCGTTGTAATACTACCGTTCGTGATGTAATATCTTACCTACATGATTTAGACCTTTACACGAATTTAGAGAACATAAAATGTCTACGAGTCTTTAACATTCAGAATCATTTTGGTGATATACTCGTTACGGTTGTCAGATTTTTGGATTTCACGTTATCATGGAAGGTTCAATGTGAAAAGTTAACAACTAAATTAAAGTCAACTATTTTTTAGTTCAGAAACCTACGTACAGTATTAAATACACCTCAAATAATCTCAGTCTATTACGCTCAGGTCGAATCTTGACTCAGCTATGGAATTTGCTTATGGGGTAGCTCTACCCATGCTTTGAATGTTTTCATTGTGCAGAAGATCGTAACAAGCATTGTTGGTATCCCTGACACTGAGTCATGCTTATATGCTTATATGCCTGGGTGTCCGCAAAGTTGGGGTTTTCCTTTTCAGAAACAACTACCCTTGAAATAACAAAGGTAATGTGTAGTGAAACGAGGGCGACCAAGTAAAAAAAATAAAGGAAAAAGTACTCAATCTCCAGTTGACGAGAAGGGCTAAGTACGTCTCTGCCCGAAATCATACCGCTCCAACAGAAAATGAAATCAGCTGATGCGCTACCGGCGGTGATGCAGACCACGAACAGAGGTAACAAATAAGACGGCGTTGCCGCGTTTTCAGTTTTTAGGTAAACGTACTTTATAGGTATTGTTCGAAGTTATCGCCGTTTGATTCAAAAACACAGGTGCGTGCACGACGTAGCCTAGCATCGGTGCAGGTTTTGAGAATGGAGTCCCTCCCCCGAATGAAAGCACCAGCTTGTTCAATTCTGAGACGAAGTTCGTCAACCGTATGCACTTCAGTTGTGTACACTAAGCGCTTCATTTCTCCCCAAAGAAAAAAATCACATGGTGTTAAGTCTGGAGATCGTGGAGGCCACGCTACGGGTCCATTACGTCTGATCCACCTATTCGGAAATAATTCATTCAAAAACTCACGCACTTCGCGTCTAAAATGGGGCGGTGCACCATCGTGCAGAAACCACATTGATTGTCTTACACTTAATGGCACATCTTCTAACAAGGAAGGCAAAATGTTGCGTAAAAAGTCTAGGTATTGCATCCCGTCCAATCGATTTGGGAGAATAAATGGTCCAATGAGCATACCGTTCACCATGCCAGCCCAAACATTCACCGAAAATGTTTGTTGAAAATGTGCCCGACGGACAGCGTGCGGATTTTCTACTGACCAAACATGAGTGTTGCGAAAGTTATTTACCCTACTACGCGTGAACGTAGATTCGTCTGTCACCAATATGCACTTCAAAAAGTCCGGATTATTGTCATGTTGATGCAACAACCACTCACAAATCCGCTGGAAAATCGTCAGGTTGACGGGCTTGTACACGTTGGACGTGAAACGGATACAGCCCCTCTTCACGCAGCGTTTGCCACACTTTAGTTTTTGATACTTGCACTTCTCTAGCCACGTCTCTAGTGCTTGTTGAGGGATTCTCGTCTACGCGATTCAGTAGTTATTCCTCAACTTGCACCATTCGTGGTTGTCTAGGCCTCCCACTGTGCCCACCTCGAAATTCCTTCAAATGGCCCGTATCCCTGACTCTCTGGACCAGGTACACAAACCTGCGGGGCCTTGGATGATGTCGTCTAGGGAAACGATCTGCATACACTCGCGACGCCTCTGTAGCATTTTGAAGACATTCGCCATAAATTAACAACATATCAACGAGTTCATTATTGGTGTACGAGTGTGCCATTATTATTTTTTTTTGAAGCGCAATCGATTATACGGATTCGTTTACCTCTACACGCGTGACCGTAACCGTCGGTTGAAGGTTGCATACTGACCTGACACACTAACCCCGACCCAGTTCTGTCGTCGGGTTGAGCTAGTGTCCTAGTACCACTCGGGGATATCGCGGGTCGCGGCTACAGGACGGTATTCAGATATTTTTGATGTTGCAGAGCCCTTTATCTTGGTTCCCGTAAGACATTGGTGTATATGGTACTAAGAAAAATTGCTTATGTTTTCAAGATCTACACGTCGTGTAAAGGAAAACCCCAACTTTGTGCACACCCTGTATATTTTACAATTATCTTTATACGTGTTTGACTATAAAAACATTTCCATTAGTAGGCAGTGCACACGATATGAATACAAGACAAAAAAAAGTATTGCAAGTTCCATTTGCCAGATGTAATACAACTACAAGTTCGCCCACTGTAATGGGACCGAAAATTTTCTATCGTCTGCCCGATTATATAAAAGTAAGCACCAGCAAGAAATCTTTTAAGAAAGAATTGAAAAGTTATCCGCTGGAGAACAGTATTTTACAGTCTGTCAGAGTTTTTGTGGTTTTTAACAGTAAACCTTATTAATTACCTTTATTCTTTAGTCTTAGGACTTATTGTATTGACAATTCCTATACAGTATTGTGTCTGGAAAAAAATTGAATCGAATTGAATTGAATTTGATGAACAGTTGTTTGAGTCAAATTTAACTCTTCCCCGATCATTCTGACTGTCAACCGTCGATCTGAACGGATCCTGGATTCTGTCGATATTTTCAACAGTTCTTCTTGGGCAGCCTTGGATTAAAGTTGATCTCACAAGACGGTGCAACCAAGCACAAAATCAATTTCGTCTGGACTTTGGGATATCGCTTGGGTTTTTGCCGCAAGCTGAAGAGCCTGGATATTAAACTATTGATATTAATTTGCAGGTTGACCCTAAGAGGCCCGTTTTAGTGCCAGGAGATGTGGAACGACAACATGAAGAGAAAGTACGTAAATATGGTGGATTATGCTACATCCAGAATCAACACGATACAAATGCGAAATTGGCACAGGAGCTAGGCGTCAAACCAATGGGGTCGGTTGCTGCTAAACCTATTTGTTCCTGTAAAAATAAGAATAAAAAGTGAAACGGGCAGACCTTTTCTTATATGTAACTTGATCTCTCATCAACTTATCATGGTTCTATATATGATCTACAGGGTGACAGGTAAATAGGTGTGAAACATTTTAGGAGGTGATAGTACAGCTCCTTTGCTATCAAAATTAGTATATAATACCATAACCTATATTCAAAGGTTAAAAAGTGATGAAAGATTTAATTTTTTTTAAAAAAACAACCCAGATTACAGAGTAAAATAGTTGAGATAACAAAAAGTTGGTGATTAAACATTCTTTTTTTGCAGGTTTCAGGTTATTATTTAAATAAATAATTCTCATAAATTAAAAAACATATAAAAACACTACTGAAAACGTATTTATTTTCATTTAAGTGTTTAAAATGTTTAAATTTTTATTTTCAACATTCACATTAAGAAGTCTTTTTTTTTCAAAAAAATCATAAAGAAAATGTACAAATAACTGCAAAAACTTCCTCGTTTCATTAGGTTTCTAAAATGGTATAATAACATATCAGTAAGTAAACCATTTAACAAAACAATATTACTTTGCTAGAAAGGACCGCTAAGCGCATTTCATTGTACTGAGCAGGAAAACCGAGCCTTTCATGGTTCGACCCTTTTTGTTATTTTTTGTGCCCTGTGCCGTTATTCGGGTTTAAGTATTCGGAATCTGTCGTCGCTCCTCGGGAGCAAGCTCTGCGTGTGTTATGAATTGACACAGCTGACGGATCAAGGAAAGGGAACTAACGCTTAGGTTAGTTAGTAGAATATCAACCTTTAACGCGGTAGGACGTACGTGTACTTTTTTGATCAGTTTTAATAATGGCGAGTTACCGTAACGAAGAATACGCTGATATTCTGTTTTGTTATGGTTTAAGTGATGGAAATTCCGTTGAAGCCAGGCGAGAATACGAAAACCGTTTTCCGAATCGGCGAATACCGAGTCATCGAGTATTTGCTTCTGTGTACCAACACGTCAAGGAAAGTGGACAGGTTCATGAGAGACGTCATGATGCTGGTAGACCTCGGTTGTTTGACGACGAAGATCGAGAGGTAATTCTGGAATGCTACGGCAGAGACCCGACGACGTTTACACGAGTTATAGCAAAGGCTTGGTTTAACTCAGTGGAAAGTTTGGTTCGTTTTGAATTCGGCGAGACTTTACCCTTTCCATTACACACCGGTTCAAGTATTAGAAGGAGATCCCGCAAGGAGAATTGATTTTTGTCGCTACATGCTTCATCGGGATCAAGAAGAAAACGACTATTTAACTAAAATATTGTGGACCGACGAGTCTAAGTTTGACAGAGAGGGGACAACAAATTCTCACAACTTACATTATTGGGCCCCACGAGAGGCAAATCCCCACATGGCAAAGCCAAGAGCCCATCAAAGAAGATTTTCGGCAAACGTGTGGATGGGAATCATTCATACGTATCTAATTGGACCAGTTTTTTTGCCTGACAACCTGAATGGCGAATCCTATGAAAACTTTTTGAGATCCGAACTCTGGGAGTATCTCGAAGACCTGCCTCTGAATATCAGGATGCAGATGATCTACCAACACGATGGCTGTCCCGCGCATTTCCGTCTGGGTGTTAGACAGTGGCTGAACGAGAAATATCCTTGTCGCTGGATTGGCCGAGGTGGACCGACACCGTGGCCAGCAAGGAGCCCAGATTTAACACCGTGTGACTATTATTTATGGGGGCACATGAAGTCACTGGTGTACGCTGAGCCCATAGACACTCTTGCACAGTTCAAAGAAAGAATTATTCCTGCTGCTGACACTATCAGAGGACAACTAACTGGCCGCATCACGCGTACCAACATGAGAAAAAGACTACGGGCTTGCATAATAAACGGCGGGCGTCAGTTCGAACAACAATTGCAATGAATTTTACCTTCATTTCATTATTGTATTTTAATTACCAATTGTAGTAACTTTTAGTCAGTTTTTATTATTCTGTAGTACAATTACAACTGTGTAAATAATCTAATCGTGTAACTTAACCGTAGTTTAAAATATTAACTATCCCATAGCTTACAGTTACATTATTTTCACAAAAACACTTTCTTATCAATCAGAGAGTTGTGAAAATAGGAGACAAGCCATTGGTAAATGTACTCACTATTGATGTATTACAATACATTATGTTTAGTTTCACACAGTTTTTGTGCACTTATCATACCAATTTAGATTCCTTATGAAACAAGGATATTATTTAAATTGTTTGTACGTTTTTTTGTATACTGATTTTTTTGTAAAACGCCTTACTTACTGTAAAACGTTATTTGTTTTTCTTAGTTAAACATTTTTGAATGAAAATAAATACGTTGTTTGGTATTGTTTTCGAATCTTTTTTAATTTATAATAGTTAATTATTGAAATAATAACCCAAAACCATAAAAAACAAATGTTTAATCGCCAACTTTTTTCTCTCTCGACGTTTTTACTCTGAAATATGGATTGTTTTTAAAAAAATCTTAAATCTTCAATAACTTTTCAACCTTGGAATATAGGGTATGGTATTATATATTAATTTCGATAGGAAAGGGGCTGTACTATCACCTCCTAAAATGTTTTACACCTATTTACCTGTCACCCTGTATACTGTTAGGAAATCACACAATCGTTTTCAGGAACGACTATGCTTGAAAATATGTGTGCGGTGAAATAGCAAAAATGAGAAAAAAATTCTTGATGAAAGTGGTTGTCTAGGGTTTGCTCTGTGCCCAAATCGACATTTCTGCAAATGGCCTGCGTACCTAACTATGAGAAGAGAGACGCCGCAGAATGGAAAAGTCCGGGAAAATAATTTGAATACACTCACAAGGTCTCAGCACCATCTTGAAAACACCGTTACATCAAGTTGGTTATTATTGTATTCGTTTGTTACAAATCCAGTTTCAACGTAAAGAGCTTGGCTTACTTATGCGACGGGTTAAATACTGACTTGCACCTTTTATTTTATTTTTTCATTAAAATATACTTAATTTACGGTTTTACAAAATAAAATTGGAAAATGGGGATAACATTCAAAGCATGCAAGCTCATAAGACATTATTATAAAAATCACAATTTAAAAGATATTTTTTAAAGTCTTAGAGCGTACAGGTAAAGATGTCAAGATCAGACTGAACGAAATTGATAAGACGAAGTGCTCTATCGAGTGGAGAGTGCTGACCATAGTTTGTAGGATGGAATTTAATCGCAAGCAGATTACTATTACGCAATTTTCTACGGGGTACATTAAGATTTATTAATGTTAACAAAGTTTCGAAATCGCTGAGCCGCAATAAAATCTTGAAGGTGGAACTACCATCAAAGACCAAGCGCCTATGCTCCAATGTAGGTAAATGCAAATATTCTAACATGTCAGCTCTATGATACTCGGTCATGTTTAAGCTCATCTTTAATGCTGCAAGACGACAACTTTTACACTGGACACGCTCTAAATCATCTTTATAACACTGGTATTGAGGAGACCACACTACTGTGGCATATTCTAGATTTGATCTTACCAAGCAGCAGTTTGAAATTCGGAAGGTATTAATTGAAAAAAACTTACAATTTCTCCCAACAAAGCCCAGCATTACAAGGGAAATGAACACTTAGTTGTCACATACATTGCGTACAATTTGTGTAGTTGTGTACAACCTATCGTTTACTGTTGCAGAGCGTTAGTAGTATGATGTTGCAACTCGCTTCGAACATCTACAAGTATTTACTAGACGAGACCGGAACATAACTACTTGATCAAACGAACTTACCTGTAAGTGATGTTCGATCCTAATTATGTGAAGGTCACGTCGAAGAAATTAGCTACCCGCCCCCTATGTATCACCCAATGGTTGCACCAACTTGGCTTTGAAGAAAACGATAGTTTATAGGCCAGAGAGGAGGAAGGTAGGAGGGTGCGGTGAGCTGCTTTCCTTCGCTGCGTGCGCGGTTTGAACTCGTGGGTTTGGTCAGACACTAGGGTACTACAAGTATTTACTTCGATGAGACCTTCACATAATTAGGATCGATTATCACTTTCAGGTAAGTTCGTTTGATCATGCAATTTTTGATATTATCAGCTAATCACCGGCTTGATGGCAGGGCTGAATTCGGCTAAGCAGATTTTTTCGGAACCGAATACTTTGGTTATCTCAAGTTTTTGGTGTATATATCATCAGGGAGCGTTAAACGGGCAATATTTTTGTGCAATATTAGGCTGTAATTATGACCCAATAGAGCATATTTATGACGGTTCGGATATACGGGGCTTTTCAAAAAGCCTACTTATTCTTTGGACGAGTCAACTTAGGAAGCCGAGATTTAGGATAACGAAATTGGTATGTATACCACATATATTTTGACAAACAGTTGAAAGTTTCATAAATGTGCGCGATTTTGGTAGATTTTTTTCAAACGGATTGGTAGATCGTGTGATATCTCATTTTGAAGCTCTTTATAAGTACTTTATAACCGCATTTATTATCTTCAAAGATGACGGACTGGCGCGCTGTCAAACTTAAGCGTTTTTGTGCATTGAATCGCTTATCAACTCAACTGATCATCAAAAGAGTATAATATGATTTAGTTAGTCTTCTTCTTTTGCAAGGATTTATTTGAATATGCAATAAAATATGAGACATAAGGTTTTTTTAAAAAAGATAGATTTTGTAGTTTTTTTTAATGTTACGTTTCATATTTGATTAGATATGCGCATAGACCTATTCAAGAGAAAAACACTAGTATAAGATACTATACAGGGTGTTTCAGTTTATTGTTGCATAACTTTAAGATTCGATAGAACTTTTAAAATTAATGCATAAAGACTATATAAACATGGGTCGAAAAATACGTGGCTTCCGAAATACAGGGTGTTTAAATTTACTTTCTAAAATAGTTTTTTTTAAATATTTTGAACAATATTTGATGTACAACAGTGAAAATTGGTATACAAGGGTTTTTTGATACGACAAAACGAACCATGGGCATAGTTTTACTGTAGCCGCTAGAGGGCGCTCTCTACTGTACCTGTAGTGTATTAAAATGACCGAAAAAATTTTCTTAGTGCAATTCTTTGCTTTTTGAATAAAAAAACTGATTCTTCGCACTTTTCAACATAAAAAAGCTCTCATGAATTTTCCTTATAGTTAGCCGTTTTTGAGATATTTCGATTTTTAAGGTTCCGTGCATTTTTAATTATTTATGATAAAATAACATTAAAAAGTCAGTATCTCGATAATTTTTAGAACTAGGCTGTGCCTGCAAATATTTTTGAAATTGAAAGCAGAAGAAGGTTAAACGTCAATTAGTTGACAGTTAGTTTTGTTGTCTGTTGAAACCTGAAACGTTTTCTTGCAATTGTGAATGCACGAAATTTAGTTTCTGTTGCCTGTTTTTTTTTGTAAGTTTTATAAAAATGCCATTTTTATTCTCCAATCAAGAGTTAGCGGATATTCATTTTGTGTATGGCTTTGTAAATGGAAACGCAGCAGAAGCAGCCAGAGAATACGCACGAAGATTTCCAAACTGACGACAACCAACGCCCTCAGTATTTGTAAGAGAGCATCGCCAAATAATTGAAAATGGTTTTGGAAATCTCCAAAGGGATCAAAACATAAATGTTCGTCAGCGCAGATTTACCGTATGATTCTCCGTGAGTTTGATAGAGATCCGACCACAAGTGTTAGGAGAGTTTCTGGTACCTTGGGAATTTCAGCAAGCCATGTTCACCGTATCCTTAGAAATGACCATAGACGTCCTTACCATTTGCAACCCATGCAAGGACTACAGCCAGGGGACGGAGAACGAAGAATCACATTTTGTCAGTGGATTCTTAATAGAACTGATAATAATAGGGAGTTTTTAAGTAACGTTTTATGGACCGATGAGTCATGCTTCACTAGACGTGGAGTGGTAAATTTTCATAATCAACATATTTGGTCGCATGAAAATCCGCATGCAGTTCGGAAAAGAAATTTTCAGCATGAATTTAGTGTGAACGTGTGGATTGGTATCTACCGTAATCGACTATTTGGACCCTACCTTTTGCCTGCAAGGTTAAATGCTGTGACTTTCTTGGAATTTTTAAAGGCTGAACATGCAAATATGTGGGATGATGTTATGTTAGATTTAAGAAGATTGGCCTGGTTCCAGCTTGATGGTTGTCCAGCTCATTATTCGAGAATAGTTAGAAACTGGCTGGATGAAAATTATCCAGAAAGATGGATCGGCCGTGGAGGACCAGTCGCCTGGCCTCCACGATCCCCTGACCTAAATCCATTAGATTTCTTTGTGTGGGGATTTCTTAAAGAAAAAGTGTACCAGACTCCCGTAACCACAAGAGATATGCTAATAGACAGAATCAGTAATGCATGTGATGAAATAAGGCCTTATTTGAATAATGCTATACCACGTTCGATCATTCGTAGATGTGAATTGTGTATTGAACAATTGGGTTTACATTTCGAGCAACTACTTTAGATTTTGTATGTTTGTCCTAACCATCCAATAGCATTTTAGTTGTAAATAATTAATTTGATTTGTTAAAAATAATATTGGAAAATTAAACAAATTAATATTGTTTTTTTGTGTTTATTTGGAGTTAGGAATTATTGCTGTGTTTAAAAACACAATCTAAACGATCATCTTAATTACTTGTAATGCCCAAATCGAAAATGTAAAAAACATATTTTCCGAATACACTACAGGTACAGTAGAGAGCGCCCTCTAGCGGCTACAGTAAAACCATGCCCATGGTTCGTTTTGTCGTAGCAAAAAACCCTTGTATACGAATTTTCACTGTTATACATCAAATATTGTTCGAAATATTTAAAAAAAAACTAATTAGAAAGTAAATTTAAACACCCTGTATTTCGGAAGCAACGCATTTTTCGACACATCTTTATATAGACTTTATGCAAATTTTAAAAGTTCTATCGAATCTTAAAGTTATGCAACAATAAACTGAAACACCCTGTATATAGCGCTTTGATGATTGGTTGTTGAGCTATAAAGCGATGTACTCTATAAAAGGCTCAACATTACCAGCCCGCCAGTTGGCCATTTTGGAAGACTGTAAATTTATATTCTGAAGCTATAAAGTACTGCTAGGGAGCTCCAAAGAAAGGTGTCGCATGACCCCCTATTTTATTAAATAAAAATCCAAATTTGCGCCTTGCCGTCATCTTGAAATTCTTGTCCGTTATTTTCACGTTAAGATATATCATCCATGCAACAATATTATGATCCCAAATCGACTTCCTAACTTAGATCCTAAAAAAAAAAAAATACTGAGCAGTTCAACATTCACATATCAATAAGCTGTTGTTTAAACGATAGCAGTTGCAGTATTCCGGTACTTAAGCTTAGCTTGAGTACTTAAAAATAATATGCCACTAAACATTTTACGATCAAGATTATGGCAGAACATTATAGTTATTTAAAAAACCCATAGAATCAAAAGCTTATATTTTAATAGCCACGTTCAAAGCAGCTTTTTTAGGTTCTTTCAAGACTCTTTACAACAGTCGCCATTAATTTCGGAAGTTGTCAATAGATTAATAATAAATTTTCAAAAACATGTTTTGTTTATCTGATAAAAAACGAACTGAAAATATAAAAATATTTTAGTCGATTAGAAATATTCAAACGATATTCTCAAATTTTCAAATCAAAGCGGTTACATCCTTGTTCCATCCTGCTGTCAAAACGTAACACGTATTTGTTTGAAAATCTGAGATGAAGGAGCTTCATTATTGTTTAAATATTTCCAATCGGAAAAAATATTTTAAAATTATTTGTTGTTTTATTGGAATATTATTGCATAAGAAATACCGAGCTAGCGCTATTTTGTTCGTGTTTGTCAAATAGGAAGCAGTATGTAAGCTCTGATGGCACCGCATCTAGCCTTTTGCCTATTTGCAACGGGAAACCGCAGGTATCAGTACTTGGCCCCTGCTATTTCTAATATACAGGGTGTCCGCAAAGTTGGTGTTTTCCTTTACACGACGTGTAGATCTTGAAAACATAAGCAATTTTTCTTAGTACCATATACACCAATGTCTTAAGGGAACCGAGATAAAGGGCTCTGCAACATCAAAAATATCTGAATACCGTCCTGTAGCCGCGACATCCCCGAGTGGTACTAGGACACTAGCTCAACCCGATGACAGAACTGGGTCGGGGTCAGTGTGTCAGGTCAGTGTGCAACCTTTAACCGACGGTTACGGTCACGCGTGTAGAGGTAATCGCGTAGACGAGAATCCCTCAACAAGCACTAGAGACGTGGCTAGAGAAGTGCAAGTATCAAAAACTAAAGTGTGGCAAACGCTGCGTGAAGAGGGGCTGTATCCGTTTCACGTCCAACGTGTACAAGCGCTTCAACCTGACGATTTTCCAGCAAGAGTGCGGTTTTGTGAGTGGTTGTTGCATCAACATGACAATAATCCGGACTTTTTGAAGTGCATATTGGTGACAGACGAATCTACGTTCACGCGTAATGGGGTGAATAACTTTCGCAACACTCATGTTTGGTCAGTAGAAAATCCGCACGCTGTCCGTCGGGCACATTTTCAACAAACATTTTCGGTGAATGTTTGGGCTGGCATGGTGAACGGTATGCTCATTGGACCATTTATTCTCCCAAATCGATTGGACGGGATGCAATACCTAGACTTTTTACGCAACATTTTGGCTTCCTTGTTAGAAGATGTGCCATTAAGTGTAAGACAATCAATGTGGTTTCTGCGTCTGCTCGGTAGCGCATCGGCTGATGGTGACAGGTGGGTTGTGGGATCTGAATCAGTAAAACTTCTAGGAATAGTACTTGATACCAGACTGAACTGGACATCCCACATTCAATATTTACATTCTAGACTGTCTACACCATTATTTGGCCTTAGGCAGCTAAGCAGATGCCTCAAAAACCACAATGCGGGTAGTGTACCATCTAGAAAAAAATTCATTTTACAAGAAACGACTTTGAGGATAATTAAAAATTCCAGTTAAGGATCAACGTGCAGAAATTACTTCGAAAATCTACAAACATTACCACTTTCATCAATTTATATTTGTGAAGTCCTATGTTATGTGTACAGAAATCTTAATAAACATCAAACCTCTGCAGAAAAACACACCCATGTGCAACCCAATGTCATATATATAATGTATATAATTTATTTATCAATGCAAATTAGGAACATAATTTTGAAAATATATCTAATCGCTACTCCTCAAAGTTAGCTAAAAGCATTGCTTAACCACTGTTCCTATTTAGTTGATGAATATGTTAATGCTATGCCGTCACACGGATAGACAATAAGTTAGCCTGTAAGGCCTCACATGTACATTGTATATACATGTATGTACACAACGATAACGTAGTCAATAGATGGTATGGTATGACATTGCAAGCTAAATAAAGGCATGTTTTTAGTATTTTTTTGATTATTTTTTTTTATTTTTCAGCATTTACGATGGTAGCTTGGTAATTTCTGTATAGTTTTTATACATTTTGTTAATAAGAGTCCGTAAATCTTCTTACTTCATTTGTATTACAAAGTTGAGCGACCGCCGCCATATTTGATTTAGAATGACATCACTTTGTCTATTGCGTCTCTCTCATCAACCTCTTTCATTTGATACCCATATCAAAGAGGTGACAATGGAAAATGTGAATCGCCATTTTGCTGGTGCTACCATATTGGAACGGCATCAGCACAATGACTGCGCTTCTCTCATCAAGTCCTTTCGTTTGAAATCCATTCCATATGGGTTACTATGAAAATGATAAATCACTATTCTGTAACATCTGCCATATTGGATTCAAAATGGCGTCGGTTAATCCATTTTGCGTTCTTACGCAGTCCAGAGATGTGTACAAAAACGCAGCTAAAAATTCAGTTCCAAGATTTGTCCCACGCACAACAGGTCAAGTTGAATAAAAGTTTCCAAAATGGTGCCAGGTATGTGAAAATATCCGCCGTCCCTGGTGTCATAATACGTGAACAAAGGCATGAAAGTTGCCGCAGTGCGAGTCAGCGTCCACAGAACCACCTCCTCGGTACCACTGGTACCAGCAGATGCATGCCGTTGCGTATGACAGCACCCAGCAGTACCGCATCGACCGCGAACACAAATGCATCGCACCGAAATGTTCACCTGAAAGGTGGTACCGGAACCTTGAGGAAGTAGAACCGCCGTACGCGTAGGTACCATTCAACTTCGCGAGATGGGTTCGAAAATCGAGTACGTGGACTCCTCCCAAATATACGCGACCAGGTACGTGAGGAATTCGAAGGCCATCGGGGTTCTGTGGGCGATTTTCACCATCTGCTACGCGATCATCGCTGTGGTCAGCTTTGTCACGCCGGAATGGATTGGAGATGCTTTGGTAAGCACAATCTGTGTATCTAAATAGTATCTGAAGTAGAATTCCTTCAAGCTTTAACTTACGATATTTAGTTGAATGTTCCGTGAGCTTTTTAATCCCCCAGAAATTACTACCAACAGCGGGCAGCGACTGAACCAAAAAGCAACTTTGAGGTCGCACTTTACCACGGTATTTTTAATAGGGTCAATTTTTATTCTTACGATAAAATTGTGTATTATGACTTTGTGGCGTCCATTTGATGAACTGGTTGATGTTAATCAGGAAAGAACTCTTGGCGCCAGCTATTTAACATTTTCCCTGTTGGGTATCGATTAGGGTTTTCGCGTACCCGGACCTTTCTCAAAATACTAGGGAATTCAGTATTTTTTAAATACTAGGGTTATAAATTGTAAATAAACTTCATATTATCTATCACCTTGGTCCATATAAATATATATTTATTCATACATAAATAAATTTCTTCTTAGCAAAGTAATAATAGAAAATGCGGCTGAAGTTCCGATCGATCACGTTCTGATCGAGACGGTATATTATAATGATTTTCTATTATACTGTAAAAGTGAATATGACCTAGTCAATAATATCATACCAGTTGTTTCCCCAAACCAAGACCAAAACCCCTTGTTTCTGCCTCCCCCTGTTGTTTGAATACTGAATTCCAAAAATAGCCTATTATTCGACACGACATCAGTGTCGCAAAACTTTAACTTTATAGCAAAACAACAACATGAACTAACACGTAGACTAAGGCCCGTATCGTCAGTCGTCCCTACAATTGTAGGGCGCCTTTATGGCCTCCTTGATTGTCATAGTTTTCTACTTCTCCGTGTCAGCGCTCTATTTTGAGGTTATGTCACAAACATCTATTTGCATCAAATTGTGCTTGCTTTTGAGTTAAACCATGTTTTATAAGCCTGAAATTTCCTACAATTTAAAAAGAAAACATATCTTCACAATAGGAGAGCGCTGACGCTGACACGGGACAAGTGTAATCTAGAAATTTTTTAAGGAGAAAAAGGAGTATGACAATCAAGGAGGCCATAAACGCGCCCTACAATTGTAGGGACGACTGACGATACGGGCCTAAGGGTCGTATCGCTGTATGGAAAAAATTGACATTTTTTATTGGGACTTTTTGCTTTATTGACATTTTAAATATTTAGTTTAATTAGTTATTATCTCGTTTTTGCAACATAGTAATCACAGAATGAAAGGATTATTACTTAAGTTTAGCTTAATGCAAAAAAGCATTTTTTCAAACAATGTTCCATGAAACATTTATCAACTTGTGTTTTGCAATTGTAGGAAGCCTTAATGTCCTCCTTGATTTTCGTAGTTTTCTACTGTTCCGTGTCAGCGCTCTATTTTGAGGTTATGTCACAAATATCTATTTGCATCAAATTGTTCATATTATCTGCCTTATCAGCTTGAAATTTCCTACAATTCAAAAAGTAAACATAGCCTCACAGTAATAGAGCGCTGACGCTGGCACGGAACAGTAGAAATCTAGAAATACCAGAGCTTTTCTGAACTAGAGAAAAGACTATGAAAATCAAGGAGGCATAAAGGCGTCCTACAATAATTTGTAGGAACGACTGATGATACGGCCTTTAGATGAAGGTTATTAATAATTTTAAGACAGGGTAATTTCAAACAATCCAGGAGATCAAGGAAAGTTATCCTTAATTAATATCGGATTAATTAATGAAATAAGATTGCAAAAATGTCAGTGCGTCAACGGAACATGAGAATGACAACTGACTACACTCTTATTTCCAAGATTTTGAGCACGGATAGTCCAGGAAATATCTTCGAGCAACCTACTCGAAAAAAAATCTCATTCGGTTTTACTGCATAATCTTATTCAAAAAGGTCCTCTTTTATCGAATCTGCGGACACAAATGGGGTCAAAAATTGTTGGAACAATTTTTATGAAAAAATTCCAAAGATTATTTTTGTCGCATCGGACAAAGTTTTTATAGGTTTTTTGGGTCATCCTCATAAAAAAAAAAGATCCTTATGTTCTTTAAAGCGCCAGTAGTTTATTACTCTCAAAAATAAAGTTTTTAAATTTTTCTCTAGTACCTAGTACCAATGTAGGCCTTTTGAACTGTACCATTACCAAGATATCACTTTTTCTGGTCCAAGCCTGTCCATGCTTTGGTACGATTGACTTGCATTTACCTGGACCTTACACACTTGATTGCTGTTGGAAAAGATCGTAGGGGATTAAGAAGCTTATGGAAAACCCAACTGAATATCATAATGAGTCCCTTAGGACCTATTTTACTATTGACCTGCGTCTTTGGCACAAATTGGACCAATAAAAAGGCATCTTTGAAGTAATGGATCTAATGAACTAAGTCATTTTCTTGTAAAATGTCTCTCAAACTAGAGCGAAATTATACGACTTGTCTAAGATGGACTCTAATTCTTATATGAAATCAAGAAATACTTCATATATCATGTTCAACTATAAACACCTTATTTTTCATTTGTGTCTGGTACTCGAAACATGGATCAAACCTGATACAATAGATTGACATGACGCCATTACTGAGCATTTTATTGAAAATAACAGTGCCTCACTGATGCTGTACGAAATTCTCTTTAATTAATTATTTGAAGTTATAGATGAAATTACAGAATGAATATTCTTTAACAAACATCGAGTTATTACCCTGTTCCTTAAGCCAACCTTGTTACTGTTAACGCCCTCTACTGGGCGGCAGGACAACTACGCGACCACGCCGCTTCGCTGTGAGGGTGGTAAGGTTAGAAGCAGTCATCCTACTGCCCAGTAGAGGGCGCGACAGCTCCCTATTAACAGGGCTGGCTTAAGGAAAAGGACGGTAGTCAAGTAAATCGATTATTTACTCAATGTTTGTTGAAGAATAAGCATTCTGTAATTTTTATTTATGTGCTCAAAGAATTTAGCAAGCATAATTTTGTACAGCCACATTCAGCCACTGTTATTTACAATAAAATGCGAATTTAATTGCTATCACATCAATCTGGATATTGTATCAGATTTGTGGCCATGCTTAGAGTATGGCGCAAATGCTTCTTTTTCATTGGTGCATTATATGATCATGGCCGCTATTCGGGGTCCGGACGCAACTGAAGAAATAAATTTTTGCACCTAAACTAAGTGATTTATGACGTATTTCTTGATTTAGTATGAGGATTACTGACCTAGCTTACACAAACCGTATATTTTTTTATCTAGTTTGAGCCTTCTCATTGGTTGAATTTGTAGCCAAGTGTCTTTTTTGCGCCTCGGTCTAGTAAAAAACCATACTATGCATGTAATACAAGATTATTTGTAGGAGTAAGAATTAACAATACATACTTTTACCAACAAGGCGATGAGTTTAGAGAGTTTTAAGCGTTTATAGAGCATTTGGCATCTTGTGCATCTCAAATACAATGCTCTATTTGACTTTAGAAAACTGTTAGCTTTTAACGTTTTTGCCTGGAAATTGTTCCATTTAAGAAAATCTATCAAGTGATTTGAGAAGTTTCTGGACTCCAGATGAAAAAAGATCAGCTTATATCTGAAAACATGTTTATTTTTCAATATCATCCTCCTAAAGTTCAACACATCTTTTCCAGCGATTTTCTATTCAATTTTCTTGAAGCTATTCTCCAGAAGCTCTTGAAAATACACGTTTACGGATGTAATAACCAATGGGCTTCTTAAAGCATTAAATCAAATTATGGTCGAGAAGGTGGATTTTCAAGTAAAAACGTAATTTACTGATCCTTGCCATTGTTAGAGCCCTTTCCTGAGCAGGTGCATTGCCTTGATAGGAGATAATTTTTGTCTTCTGTAAGCTTACCTTTTTTCCCAAATTTCTACAGCTCAATTATCAAGATTCCAGTAACATTATGCTAATATAGTTTTGATTGTCTGCAGGTAACTTGTCCTCAATATGCCTTTTGCATCCCAAAAGCTTGATGCCATAGTCTTTTCAGGTGGCACAGAACTACCTGGTTCAATCCACTCTGCCGTTTGATAGGGGAATTTAGGGTCTAACAGAATTCCCAAACGCATTATACCTTTTATGGTATTAATTGAATCAATTAGAAATATTATCCGCCGGTTGTTCAGAAAGTAAGGTAAATTATTTAAAGGCTTATTTGAAGGTGGGTCGGAAATGTTTTAAATTTTGAGATACAGAGTGATTGTGTATGCCTGGCTTATTCTCTCTCAAATCCAATCTCGATGAGTCTGTTTTACTTCTCAGCAAATTTGACCTCTTGTTTTTTAAGGCCGCAAAGAAAATAAAAAAATATGCACGGCCGTATGGCTATAATGTGAAAATTGATACAAGATAACAAATAATGATAGCAACGTAATGTTTCTTATCATTTGACGCGAAAATCTTGAGTTACACGAACAAGTAGTGTCGTACTATAATTTCCTTTAAAACCATTTAGGTCAAATTCCGCACGAAAACCATTTGAAAGAATAAACAAAATCGTTGTGTAACAGAAAACTCTTAGTGCATAGTATCCCTGCACCAAATTTCATTAAAGTATATATATACAGGGTGACTTTGAAGTTGAGTCATTAATTTTCAGATAATGATTGTAGAAGGAAGATAAACCAAAATATGTGTGTAAAAATAAAAAAAAAATAAAAAAAAATTAAAAAAAAAATTTTACCTTGTTTTATAAAGTATCCTCCCGACAAGTATTTCAGTGCGGACCTGTATTTGATCGTGAGGTCTTGGAGCACCGGCATGTAGTCCCCTGTGAGGTCTTAAGTCACCTGATTCACGAGCCCGTTGTACTACATTAACAAAGGCACGAGGGGTTGGTTGCACTCGATTGGGAAACCGATCCGCATAAACATGTGCCATTTTTTATTTCGTTTGAGCCACGCAACAGACACCACTATTCACTCACGCGTTACCGACTGACACTGACTGAATACAACTGAATAAAATAATTGTAAAAACATCGTTCCAAATTCTTTCGCTTTTTTGTTTCCGATGCGATGAACCGATAAGGCTGATTATATCCGTTGTCGCCAAACACGAGCACATAATATTATTATTGAGACAGGGCGGTACTCAAACTTCCAAAGGGCTATAACTTTGTTACTTTAATTTTACCAGAAAAATGGTAAAGGAAAAAAAACATTTCTTTTGATCAGATCTACTCACTGTTAAAATAAATGACTCAACTTCGAAGTCACCCTGTATATAAGAGAAAATGATCATGCGGAGAAAGGTATATAACAAAAAATATGAAAATAATGGGCAAAATCAGCAAAAAGAAGGAAAGTGGATTCGAGCAGAAAATAGGATATAGGTAACCCGAGCGATACGTATGTCTGCTGGTTAGCTTCATCAGTCCCGAAATGAATGCACATATGGAACTACAAAAGTAGATACCTACATATAAATAAAAGCTAATTATATGGAAACTGTACCACTCCGTCTCTAAATCCAAAACGTTTAAGATACACGTTTGTAAGAAGTTTTCTTCTTAAAATGAAACCATGAACCACTCCCTTAAATGTTTAATCTTACTCTTGAAACACATGGTATTAATCTCTCATGTTTGCATGGTCAATCGAACCATATGTATTTTTTTGTATTAAAATTTGTCCTCATTCTAGTATACTTACGTTTCGGTATCGACGGACTTCAGCAAAAAATTGACATTTATATACAATATGTTTTATTCAGCTGTCTTCCAGGTGACACTTCATTTGTTTTCTCTTTCCATTTTCACTTCTTTAAACAGTGTGTTACTACACTAGATTGGAAGGTCTGTAACATGCTGAGAATACGCGAAGCCATCATTAAACATTTTAAGATGGCACCAGCATATCACAGGACTGCTCCCAAAAGTACGTTCAGCTCTCCAAAAAGATGGGCGAGTATGAAGTTATTTGCCGTTTCTTAATGTACCAGATACGTCACCCTCGTCCATCGTTCCAAAAACGCGAAAACAACCAGTACAGTTGTCAAAACATACCGGTTAATTGTTATGCAAGTATTGACCAAAATGATGCAAATGCATTATGGATTTGAAACGCGACACATAGAAGTTTTAAAGGAAACCCTGTTGTTTGTCCTGTGAAGAAATAATAAGACAACAGTCTAGCCTTGTATAAAGTGAAATAAATGTTCAAATAACCTGCCACAAATAACTATGTTCTACTACGCTTTGAAATATTCTACTGACTGGTATAACCTTTTTTGTTGTTACTTTTTCATATTTTTTCAGGACTCGAATGGAGACAGCCGCGGAAAGCTAGGACTATGGTCAGTCTGCTACTCCACGGACAACGGTGAGGAATGCACTGGAAGACTGGACGACTTCATGAGCATCCCTACCAACGCATTCCAAGCTGCCACTGCCTTTGTAGGGCTTTCCTGCGTGGTTGCCCTGCTGACCATTTGTACAATGCTCTTGTTCTTCTTTTGCCATTCAACTACTGTCTACCATGTATCCGCCTGGTTACAGCTCATTTCTGGTGAGTGGCTATCTTTTTTTTATAGTTGCATTACCACTAATTTCCCAGGTGGTACCTCCACGCTCGACAGTGTGAGACCGTCTACCACCTACGGATAATTACAACATCCATAGCCAGGAGAACAATTCTCTTGGGACGGGATTCTAACTAGCGCAGCTCAGAGTGACTAATTAGTAGACACGTAGAGACTACCACTACGACACCGCGCTGACTTGTTTGAGCCTTGGACTAGCGAGATAATAAACTTGACGAATCAGTCATCCATTGATTTCTGCCTTTTAATGGAAATAAACAATCAGCGACCGTTCTTCCGTACAAATTCTGGAAAGATTCTGTACCAGGCCACTGGCGCTCGCACGGGGGGGGGGGGCACAAGGGGGTAATTACCCCCCCGACGCCTCGAGCAGTCTTTGAAAAGGTGATATAAAGTAAACGTCTTATAAAAAATCTGTAACTTTACGAAAAGATAGCGGCAACACTGCCAACCCGCTCAGTGCGCATGCGACTAGCGACTACTCTCCCACCAACAGCAACAGTGTGCGCTTCTTCCTGTTGGAACAGGTATAGTCTAGTTTTATATGGTCTAGTCTAGTGTCTACATTCTGTACCAGACCGGAGTCCGCAACAAAATTTGGCTGAGAAGTGAACAAAACAGATTATATTATTTTGCATTTTTGTTTTAATATATGAAGATTGCTCGACCTTGGTTTGCTTTATTTACACTTTGATTTCGTATGATTCAAAATTAAAAAAAAATTGTATGTATTTTCTACAGAAACTACTGTAACAAATTCATATGTCTGCATATATGTCTATGATTTTAATGTTAAATCATTATAACACTTCAGTAAGTCACACTGAGTATTGACTTTCCATTTTACCCCTCCCAGACTGAAATCCTGGGAGCGCCACTGGGCCACGTGAGCAATTTCTGGCCATAAAGTCGGTTTTCATTATTCTGTGGCGCTCCTTGCTAACAGAAACGATATTTACAGCTTCATTTTCAAAAAGATAATGTTATGTGATGCCTCCACCCCGCAATCTCTTTCTTAGTTATATGTCATACCTAAACCTGGGAACGTAAAAAAGAACTTCTATAGTCCGTTTATTAAGTAATTTACATAATAGTAACAATAATAATAATAAGTGTCGTTATTGGTAATCTAACAAATAATGGCGAAGCTTAGCTTGATGGCTACTCCTCCACTCAACCATAATATGGACGAAACATTACAAAAAGTTTACGCATGCAACATAAAACACTTGCAGAACAGTTATGAAATTATACTACCTACAAGCATAGCAAGTCACAAAGAAAAGAGTAACATAAGAAATATAAAGCAATGTATAAGAACTAAAGAATAGCAAAACGATAACTCAAGCAATAAGAGATGTTTGCAGCTGTTTTCTAATCGATTTTTTAAAGGCGACAAATTTTTTTGTTTGTTGGATGTACTGAATGAAGTACGGTGAAGAGGAACACCGGCGTAACCTTCTGGTAACTAGATTTCGACGAGGAACGAACTTGCTTGCTGGATATATAAGCCTATTGGTAATCATTATTTTATGTATAAAAACTAATACAGGGTTTGTCCGGAAAGTAACAGGACTGAGTCCATTTAAAAAAATTATTGAGCCAATCGTTACAATTCTTTAAAAACTGTCAAGATATGCTCCTTCTGCGTCGATGCAGCGCTGCCAGCGCGATTTCCAAGCATTGAAGGCGTCACGGAAGGCATTCTCCGGAATAGCCTTGAGAGCCGCGATGTGTGCCTCGGGATCATACTCAAAGAACCACGACTCGTCACCTGTGATTACGTTATTCAAAAATTAGGGGTCACTTTCACGCATGTTCAAATTTTCTTGGCACACTTCCACTCGTCGCAATTTCTGGTCGTCAGTGAGCACTTTTGGGACCATCTTCGCGCACACTTTGCGCATGTTCAAATGCTGTGTCACAGTGTCATGAACCACAGATTTTGGTAAATTTAACATCTGGGCAATTAAACGAATACTTAGTCGATGGTCTGAGTTCAAAACTTTGCGCACACGAGTCACATTATCGGTGTTTGTCGAAATCGAAGGTCGTTTAGCACGGTCTTCATCAGCGACCTCTTCCCGGCCCTCCAAAAAGGCCTGGTGCCACCGAAACACACCACTTCTTGCTAAAGCAACATCTGGGTAAGCCTGCTTGATCATATCAAACGTTTCTGTCGCAGATTTACCGAGTTTCACACATAATTTAATCGCGTACCTCTGCTCTAATGAACGCTGCATTTTCGGCTTGCACCACTCACAGAAACACGTCGCGCGAAAATGCCTGTCCTGACTCTCCAAGTGCTCTGAGACAACTGACCAGCCGCTCATTCGTTAGCTAGGAACGCCCTCTACCGAATCCAGAAGGAAATGAGTCCTATTACTTTCCGGACAAACCCTGTATTAAGACCTCAAAAAGATGGTTGAGCTTTACAACTTAAATGTGACACGGCAGTGTACTTATGAAAATCGAAAACAAAACTATATTAGACATCCACTCCTTGTTTTTACCCATTGCTTGAAATTGTGTGAATGAGATTTAAAAAAACAAATAGGAACATCAGTCCGTGATATTTTAATTTTGATAGAAGAATGTCATGGTTAACTGTATCAGATGCTTTAGAAAAATCCAACAACACTAGTACAGCATAAATCTGACGGTCCAAATTACAAATAATTTCATCAGTTACGCGTACTAGTGTCGATATAGTGCTAGGACCGCTACGGAAACCAGACTGATAATTTGGAAATATACTACACGTTCCGAAATACTACTATTTGAATATAAAAATTAGTTTACAATATTTTCGATAAGGTACAAAATATGCTAATTGGCCTCAAATCTATGTGTTCTGTTGGATTGTTATCCTTTGCTAGATGAGTTATAACAGTCTGTTTCCACAAACTTGTGAAGATTCCTCTTTCCAAAGAAACATTGATGATATGGGTTATCTACTTCGTATTACGAAGAAACCCTTTAATAAAATCATTTATAAAGCATTTTGAACTTTCCATTTTTCTTATTATATTAGCTTATGATCAGAGCACCTTCGTTAATTTTTTAAGCAACTTTGTGATTTGCAATACCGTTGAGTAAAATATTCGGTATCCGATAAAACCTCTGCCATGTACTGCCCACTTTAGCCTGACTTCAACAAGAAGTTAAATTGTATACCAAAAGATGTGTTTTCTTCATTCTCATAGCAATCATGTTACTATTTTGAATAAGAATCTTCTTAAGGCGGCTCCGACGCAGTGAGTTTCAGGCCATTTACAAGGGTTTAGCTGCTTCGGAATTGACGCTCCATTTTTCTATATATTTGAATAAAATTTATAGAGTATGTTCAGAAGACAATTGTCCAGGGTGCTATAGAGCCACTTTTCTAAAAAAAAAATTTTTCAGGAGTTATGGTGGGTGGAAATGCAGATAATTGTTGTTCGACTTCTCGATTTTTTTAAAAATAACCCAGAGGAAAAAACGAAAAAGTGGCTCTATAGCACCCTGTGGAGTCTTGTTTTTAGTGCACTGTGAAAATTTCATTGGAAAATATTCAAAAATGAAGCGTCAATTTTGAAGCGCGAAAACCTCTGCAAATAGGCTTTTACACGAATTTTCTCGTGCTGCCAGTCGAAGCAACGCGGCGGTATGTACGGACTAAGAAAGGACGTATTCAGATAATTTGTTGTCCCAAGTTAAACAGTAGCAGTTTTGACGTCGGTCGTTCGAGATAAACATCGGACCAGTAAGTGACATTTTTAATAGACTTCAATGAAAGAGGGGAAATTTCTAATCGATTTTGATCATTTCTTTTTATACAATAGGCCATGCTTCAGAGGTGATACCACAAAAAATCATTTTTGTTGAATCACCTCAATATGGATATCAAATGGAAGCACTTGTACAAAACAGTAATACGAAAACAGTTTCAAATCAAGATGGCGGCCGTCACAAAATGGCGGATAACATACTTGCTAATATCTCAAATAAGAGTCGTCGCCCTGTAGAATACAGTACTTCACTAAAAATTTGATTCCAAGATTGCCGCCGTTTCGAAATTGTGAGTTACATAGTTTTGTACAAAACCCCCAATTTACATATATCAAATGAAAAGACTTGACATGTGTGGTAAAATACAGAACTTTGTGACCAAAAGTTTCCAGATGGTTCCAGGGTCATTGGAGGCGGTAATCTTTTTGGTTAAAAATAATAATTTTAATGAACGCATTTAACACAAATAAAATGTCACTTGCTGTTTAGCTTTAACCTTATGAAGTATCGTAAAATAAACTTAACATGATAAGCGTCATGAGATATAATGCGTGTGTCGCACCTCATTTGGCGCTTTGGGCCTCGTGACACACATGATATGTCTCACTGCTGGCAGTTATATTTGGCCGCGTAACGTAAGACGTGTGCCATGCTGATGTGATTTTCTTACGGGAACCAAGAGTCCGTGGCCTGAGGGACCAAATTATACTGAATTGGAAATGAAAACACTAAAAAACACGTTGTTTATAGAGTTTTACAAAAAGAGGATATTCTACAAATCTAAAACAAAAAGCAAATCTTATAAAATAATCAGACATTCTCATTCAAAAATGAACAAAGTAATTTCACAGCAAATCAGTAAGTTATGGTAAATGTCGATATTCCAACGAACACAAATATGGAGGAACTCTTATAAACTAAACAGATTGACAAAGTCTTATGAAGGAATAAACAAAATACCGGTATAAATAAACAGTAATACAGATAAATATGGAATTACTACAACTACTATCTGATTCACTACCACTTGGAGAATACGCATCAGATAAGTATGCATCCCCACATAACTCAGTACTGCCACTCTCTTCATCCGATAGTATTTCATTACACAATTGTTCAAGCCTTTTTTGCTCCGCTTCGTAATGCGATATCACTAAATTTGGTATTCAATAGTTTATAAACAGTAAAGCAATTT